ACCTATGAGCTTAGGCCATTGCGATGGGGACAGCATCGACTAGAAAGGATACGAGGCAACTTAGGGTGAGGTAGACGTTCCCTTTGGGACACGAATGAGCCTGAATTATTTACCATACCGATAGCACAGGTACTGAGCAAAAGCTTGACTTTTGCCGTCGCGGGACGCATCTGCCACAAGCCAGGATGTTCGCCGTCCACTAACGCTTCAATCGAATCTCCATAGGAGAACTCAACAACAAGGATGGAAAAATGTAAGCGCCTTGTCATATGCTAACAACATTCTATACAAAGGCAAGCAAGGCATGTACGAGCATGTACACGATCGGCCTGCATTCTGACCAATCAAATCCTCAACTGGGTAGCAGTTCGACTGGCTTCCTGACTCATCCGAATGGCGATGTAAAGTCTTAATCCTGGTGGCGGCTGGCGCGTCATCACGTGCATTACATGTGGGCGGATCGGGAGTGTGACGTGCGAGCGAGTCGGTTAGGGCGGCTCCTAACAGGTTTGTTTCATCAGCAATCCCCCAACATTTTCCGTGTGCCTTCTGGTGTATAGCCTCAGTTTAGACGCTTGTCCCTTTTTTAACTTTCTTAGATAGTAATGCTGTTAGTACCTGTGTTGATACTTTCATCAGCAGGTTAAGGCCACAGAACAGTCACGAACAAAACGATCTACCAAGCTTGCTGCATTATCAAGGAGGCAAGGAGGATGGATACATGTTTTTTCTGGACCAAGGCGACCGTGGCGAATCAGATATCACATGACCTCCCCGTCAACTACAAGCGATCACCGGATGTGTATGAAACTAGCGGTTCAGTATAAAGACAGCCTTGGATAATTAAACGAGATAAGTGTATAAACGACAGAACACGTTAGTTGGACTCACGGATGGGCATCACCAAAAGGCAAACCAGACTAATGTAAACTGTTGGAATATATTATGCACCTCACATCACCGAACGGGAGTAATCTCATTCCTCGTCTCAGTTCCCCTTTACAGTCTCTTCGAATTTTGTTTCACGCTTGATAAATTCATTTTGTAGGCA